TTTTTTTTTTTTTTTTTTCTAAATTAATAATGTATTATTTCACAATTAATGAAATCTAATCTTATGCAACTTTGTTCCTCAAATTTGCTCAACTTCCAAAGGTCAATTATATGTTATCCAAACAAAAAAAGAAAAATGAATCAATCATCATGTAGGTAACAAGAATACTATTTCGAGTATTCTTTACTGTTACTCATATACCCTGGTTTAACTAATTAAAAAGTTTATATTAATTTAGAGTTCTCACATTTAAACTTTAATTGGGAAAGTAATAAATATGTTAAAAAAAGTTATATATATATAAATTCATTAAAAGATATATTAAAAAAAACACTATCACTCATAATCTTAGTTTGATATTTTAATTTCTACTCTTTATAGAATTAGATGACATACGTACTAAGGAGCACTAATTATAGTGATATAAATTAAAGAAAAATTTCCTTAATTGGTTGGGGCTGTATATCACCCAACTTTGACTGGGTATATGTTTGTTACCTGAAATAAACATGTGTGCGCTTTTCATAGGACTCCACTCCAATTGTTTGTAGAAATAGTTGGCCAATTCTAGGGAAAAAAAATGCAAAATCAAGTCTTATATATTTATCGTTTAATCTGGTTTTTGTCCACACGACTTGTATTCGATCATTCAGGTTGGTGAAAGAAACAACCTAACGACAACCAGATGTAAGCCTCTAGCTCGGAGAATTTATATATATGTTTGTAATTAATAAGAATATAACTTCATCTTCTTCTAATTGTTTTTTTTTTTTTAAATATGTAAAAATTAGATATTGAATTATAAATTTATAATTAAAATTACATATAATTTTATTATCAAAATACATAATTAATAATATTTCTTTCATTCTTTGTTCCTTGAAATATATATTAAGAGCAAAGTTAACCCACTGGAGTTTTCTAAAATAATTCTTAATTTTGAACCATGTTCGTCGAGATGTAGGTATAAATGTCGTTACCAATCAGTATACTATAAAAGATAATTTTACTAAATTACACACGCTATCCTTGACAAGAAGTCAAAAAAAACAAAAAAACAAAAAAAACTAAAATCTATTCGATGGTGAGATCTAATCTCGATGTCGAGCTAGTTTCTCAAAATTAAGATATTTTAATTTAATAATTTCGGAAATTTTGTTATAATTAATTCGTTAGAGACAGAACTAGTTTTCATTCTATAAAAAGAAAACCTAATTTTCATTAATAAAAATTTTGGATAATCCTATATTAATAATGAAAATTTGATCAACGACTTGAATAGTTTAGTGATTATTTTTTTTGTTGAAAGTAAAAAATTTTAAATTCAAATTCTATAACATGTGAATAAAATAAAATAAAAAATAAAAAATAATTATTTTTTATTATACAACTAAAATAAATAATAATAATAATAATGAAAGTTTGTAACTTCAGCTAGAAGTATAAAGGTTAAAGTCCATATATGTTTTTAGACATTTTTTTTTTACAATTAACATCTTAAACTCATCTAACCTTTTGGTCAACTAGTATTCAGCCAGCTTGAAGTGCATTTTTTCTTTTTGAAACTCATCTTTTGACAATTTGTTTAAAAAAAAAAAATAACATCCTAAACTAACTTTTTGTATCAACACTTTTTATAATTTATATATCGTAAAAACCTCAAGAATGTAACATCATGTGCGTGTTAAATTCTGTTAGCTTAAACATTACGTGGCATAGGGGAATCTAAGTGGATATCACGTGGCTCTTTTCATCTGATGTGGCTGCCACATGTTCAGTGCGCCGCACTATATGACTCCATGTTTGAAGGCAAACGGAAAAAGGGGAAATGATTAAAAAGCCATCATTTTCCACCATTGTCCCCCTTTTTGGAGATCTAGGTTGTGGCTTCTTTTAATCTTCCCTTCCCCCTTCTTTGTATCACCTCTGAAACTCAATTTTTGACAAGAACTAATGTTTAGCGAGGTTCCACTTCACATGCACGTGGTGCATCGAGTTCATCTGGTTTTCCTCCTTATGTCTTATTTGATGGGATTCTTAAGTATGACAAGGAATAATGAAATGTCATCAAAAGCTACGAACAAAGAGATCAAC